AGATGTCTCACATGGCTGGCAGTTGATGCTGGCCATCGGCTAGGAGCTCAGCTGGCCCTTTGACTGACATGTTTACATGTGGCCTCTCTAGCACTGTAGTCTCGGGGTAGCCAAACTTCTTACTGTGTTTATCCTAGAGCAAGAATTCCAAGAGAGCAGGTGGAAGCTGCATGGCCTCTTCTGACCTAGCCTTGGAAGTGATACAGCATCTCTTCTGCTGCATTCTACTGGTTCCAAGAGAGTCACTAGGTTGTGTACAAGAACTTGAGGTCATGTTCCAAAACTGCCATAAATGCTAACAACATGCCAGGCACTGTGGTATGTATTTACTCATTTCATTCTTACTAAAAAAAACCCAAAACCCCTCAAGGTGGGTAGTCTTAGTCTCCTTATTTTACAGAAGCAAGGCACAGAGGTTGAGTAAGTTCCCAACATCACACCATTATTGGGGGAGCTAGGATTCGAATCCAGACTGGCCCCGGAGCCCATGGCCTTCGCTACTCCCCTCCACTGCCTCCACATAGCGCTGTGATTCCTGCTACATTCCAATCAACGGCCTTACACATAATCACTTTTCACTCACAAACAGTGGTATGAAAACTCCCAGTTCATTTATAATCACGAGACAATCCTTACCTTCTCAGCTCTGACTTTTGCCTATGTGGTTTCCTTTTCTTCCAATGATTTGTCTGCCTATATTATTTATTATGCGGGTCTTTTAGGGAGCTCTCCCTGACGACCCAGCCCTGGGGCGCGTGCTTCTCCTTCGGGTGCGCATGCCACGGGTGCTTAGTAGTTACTTTGCCTGTTGCCCTGGCTGTCTCTCCTCTAAGTTCTCCGAGGGCTGGGCGTTATTTTGTTCATGAAAGGACCTCCAGCACAGTGCCTGGCATGCAGTGTGCAAATAAGTACATAGTAATCTCTCGCACCCACACTCCTCGTATACAATTATCATCTATTTCAGCCACTAAGACAGGCTCCTGACATTCAAAATCTGTCACATTCGCCCCTGCCCACGCACGCTCAATCGCGGGGACTTACTCCCCACGCTGGTCTCTGTCACAGTCCTCACACCCTGTCACCACCACAAGCTCATCGCACACAATGACTGTGACACAGCTCTAATCTCCAACCGCTGCCACGGACTGTTTTCACACAACCATGGTGGCCATCTGGACTGTAAGGGCAGGATATTTACTCCCCCGTCGAGTTAAGATCGCAGCAGCTCTATTTCTCACCCGTGCCTTCACACACGGCGTTTTTTTTCATCCATATAATTCCTGACAATCCCTGACACAGTTATGGCCGCACACTGCCTACTGTCTTCCTCCCACTCCCACTGGAACCCTCTCTCAGTCTTTCTTACACACGTACTCACGCGCGCACACTCAACCTCGGGGTAGCGGGCACGTCGGCGGGGTCGGGCCCCGCGCAGCCCGG